CAAACTGGAGCAACAGTACTCAAGGGTCTTACCTTGGTCGGAATCACCAGAGGCAGAGGCAGCAACAGCAGAGGTGTGAGGAAGATGATCAGGTAGTTCCGATGAGCCCATATCCAGCTCCAAAAGGTAGACATGACTGTGTTTGCTCAAAAGCGATTGTGAGTATAAAACAAAGCAAGATATGCAGACCAAAGTGAGAGGAAAAGGGAAGAGATAAAATACTGTTTAATTAGCTCAGTGGGACCTGAGATCCATTAGGAAAAGAAAGCCAGGAAGCAAAGATGCAAGTTTATATTATATAGCAGGAGAAGTAAACATTAACCAAGGAATTAGGGGAGGCTGCAATTTTTTTTTTCCTTCAGGCTGAAAAAGATGAGAGAGAGGGAGAGAACACTCAGAGACAACACACCTTTATAGCTCTTCAGATAAGTCCTAGTAATGGAAATCGTTTGGAAGTGTTTAACCATTCAAGCCCTGAGGTCCAAGAAACTGCCTGCAAGGCAAAGAGGTGTCCAACGCCATTATCCAATTTGTGCTTCCAAACAAAACCAAAAAAACATACAAAAAGAAAACGCGGCTTTGATCAAAACTGTCTGGTGTGCGGACGATGAAGTATTGAAGCGCTCAAAGCTACAGGTGTGAAAGATTTGGCCTGTGATCATAAAACAAATCAGGCCCAGGGTGGTGGAAAAAAAAGACAAAATCTAATACTGAGAGGAACCCGACAGAAAGACATTTTGCAGACTTCATCTTTGACATGAACTCCCTGGAAACATACAAATGGGTATCTACATATGAGCCACAGCAGCAGTGTTCTGTACTGCATGCTCCATAATGCCTTGCTTTAAAGCAGCAATGCTCAGAAAACTCTAAGTTGTAATCGAAATTCAATCAGTCAGAGTAAAATCCATTTTTATGTTGCCTAATACCCTGAATATGCTAGTTTTTAGGCACAAAACAGCAGTTACCATAAAAATAAACAAAAATTGAATTAAATTAAAAGAAATTCACAACAGAGACAATTTTGCTGTGGCAATTAACAGCCTGAGCAAGGCTCTTTTGCTCTGTTATATTATAAATAAGAGTGCTTGATTAAATTAATGAGAAATAAAAGTCTACTTTTCACTTTGAGGTTTTTGAAATTGTTGCCTTTTTAATGTTGATATTGTTTTCTTCTACAGAAATAAACATTTAACTTGAGGTGGCTGAAATGTGGAAAGAACAGTCAGGTTTGTTTTACAAACGTGAGATGTACAGTACATACACATCTTCTTTTGGCTAAAGGTTTCAGTGTATTTTAAAATAAATTGCAAGAACCGCAAAACAAAGTTAGAAACCCTGAGGAATAATGATTACATTGATTTTAGTATTAATAGGTAACCTATAACGCAAGTTTGACTTAATATGAATCCGGGATCATTATTTTTTTTAAAAACAAATAGAACAAACACTATTAATTAGTGCATCTCTGTTACTGTACCTCATAACTGTCATCAAGCTTAAAACTTCAGAATCAAACTACAACCAGTAATTAAGAAACTTTTAAAAAGCTCAGATCAAAGATAAAAAGGCCTTAAAATGCCCTTTGTAAGGAATGGGTCAGTTGGTTGTGTTGTCACAGCACTGTCTAATGTTTTTTTAAACCCCTGTCCTGGGTTATTTTTTAAAACAGTTACTCAATGTCCACTGGCAGAGCTACAGACAGGAGGGTGAAATCTGATATAACAGCTGACACAAAGATAAAGGCAGAACCCATTCAGTTACCTCTGCTACAACGCATCTTTCAGGCTCCTTCTTGATAACAAGTTGTTTTCTTTTATTAATGGGCCATACTGATTCGTATCTCAAAGCAGGGTGCAGCAGAACTGTCCCTTTTTGACTCAGATGCGTTGTAACACAAAACCTAAATCTTGACAGGAAGAGAACCGCAAGAAAAAAAGATATAAGTAAACTGGCCTTTTACAAAAAAGAAATGTTCAGGTCTTTGTTCCCAGGGTTGGAAGATATCAAACTAATCTGGATTGATTCTCCAGAGAAGCATAAAATTATAAAATGTAACTACAGGGTTAAAAGTGTCCAACTGGTAGCTTATCTTTATGACCAGGTTCAAGGACTCACTATGATATATTTACATGACCTTAAAGAGTTATCCTTAAAAGGGTAGGAATTAAAATGCACCTTATCAAAAGATAAAATGCAAATTCAGCAATTATTAATAATACAATGAATAGTGACATTAATTCTTAGGAAATGAGGAGGGAATGTTCTAAAGTATAACATAATAAATATTGGCAATATAATGAAATGTACAAACGAGGGCAAAGAACAAGTTACTCACTAAATAGCAAGACGTAGTGTTTGTCTGTCACCAGCATGGAAAGGTATATTATCAAGAGCATGATTCCTTTGACAGCAAGCACACAGCAAACAAGGCTTCAAGAGGTCCCTGTGTATCCAGGGAATGTGTGTACTTGTGCTTTTCATCTCTGGTTATTCTCAATATCCCCTTGCATGTTGAGAAATAGCAAAGCCGATACTTTGAGTGAGAACGTTGTGTATGAATTTGTTTGCCAGACAGCAGTTACTGCCTCCTGTCATAAGCTTTCATTTCCTTTAAACAGAAGTCGTTTGCCTTTTGATTGACTGATGCCTGTTAGACAATTTTGGAAGTCAGTGATGTACTGACAGGCTGAAGGAACTGAACCTTTTAAGATCTGAACGGAGAAAATTGCAAGGGGACCTCATACCAGTAATTCAGCTTCTATGATCAGTGAAACACGAACCAGAAGGACACAAATGGAAACTATGCTGGAGTGCATTAAAAACTGAGAACAGGAGGCATGTCTTAATGGGAAGTGTTGCTGGAATATGGAACTAGCTACCCAGACATGTACCAAGCTGCCAACAGCCTGGCCCCCTTCAATAAACACGCTGGTTTATTAAACTACAAAAAGGGCTGGATGGGCTGTATTTTTGACCGCTGTTAGGCACGCAGATGTCCTGTCTCCTACTCACCAATCTCAAAATTCAAGTCAGGGAAGTTCAGGCAGGATGGGGTCTCCAATGTCTTGGTACACTGACCTTAGACATTTGTTTTGACGGCCTTAGTCCCCGACAGCAAGATTAGGACAGATCCCCATTTATTCTGACTTGCCCTTGTGATGAAGAGGAATGAAACGTAGGAAAAAGCTCTTAAACCTTATCAGTTCCACTTTGCTGCAATTTGCAAAAAATAAAAAAATCCCTTCAGTTCCTTCAACAAGGTCTTTAAAATGCCAAATTGCGTAAGCTGTCAGCATTTCAGAAGGCACTATTAAGAACACATCTACACTCCATACCACTAACTTGGTTTATAATTATACAATAGCCTTTTGGCACAAAGTCCTGTCCTGTGTAAACTCAAATAAAAACTCTGCCCCCACAGACCAAGTAATATAATAGTACAGAAATTGACTTGCCTGTTTGTTTGGCCAGTGCTCAACAAGATATTACTTAGATATTAATAGCAACCTCCGTAGATCTTCAGAGGGACCCTATTCCATATCTGCTATTCACTTGTGCAATTCCTGGCACTCACAGATGACACTGCACCTGATAAGAGTTACCTGAGCACAGCGATTGTCTGGTACTCTGTTATCACACTTGAGATTTACTGAAACCTCAGCAGAAGGTACAATCTGACAAGCGAAGGAAGTGCACATGACACACAGAGACGTTGCTTCACAAAGTGGCGAACCGCCCTCTACCAACAAAAATAAGATCAGGCTAGATGGCATTCATTGTTTTGTTTTTTTATTATTTTGTTTAGCATGTTGTTATTACTATTAATACAAAATGAAACTGCCTGATAAAACCGCAAAATATGTTTCCTGTTGTAAGAATATGTTTGATCCTTTTGTGAAACAGAGTGCACCAATAACACTGGAAGGAGATGCCCATTCCTCCCTGCGCTGCCCCCTCTAACTCAGGAACCCTAGAAGATTAAAGAGCTGCAATGGAGCCCCCCCTGCAGGAAGGCTTGGACTGTGTCAGGAGCTGGGCTTCAGTTCTCCTTCACCCTTACTGGCACTGGAGCTCCCAGCGGGCAAGAGCTCCTTCTAAACAATATCAGGGCATGCCAGGAGTGGGAATATGAAGCCTTCCAATGCAGCACTAGCAACCTTTTTTGCAGGCTCCCCCCAAAACGTCTTTACACAAAGAGTGGTGAGAGCGTGGAACAAGCTATCCAGCCATACAGATGAGGCTTCTTTCAAGAAACAGCTGGATGAGGTCCTGGCATCAATTAGCAGCAAGCAGCCAGATGGGTTGTAGTGTGATCTTGCCCTGTGCTCTCTGTCTCTGGGCTGCCGAAAAACCCTTACCAGTCAACAAGCACCTTCCTCACAATTAATGCATTATTATTTCAATTGCAGGGTTATTGTTCGGCTGACGCAAAACAAATCGACAGCTCCGTATTGCTTTTTGCTAACTTAAACCCCTCCATTTGAGGAAGTACGGCTGAAGGACTAACCGTATATACCGTTAGCCAGTACAGCCCGATAAATAAAAGCGAAGAGATACGGGACTATGAACTCGCTGCTTGCGGCTGGCGTCCAATGCAGCGCTGCAGATTCCGCAGACTCGGGAGGGAGTGATGGACGACTCCGCGGACACGGACGCGATTCTCCCCGACGACCCCGGGACGCAGGTCCCGGCCGGCCCCGCACCGATCGCAGGCTCGGTTTCCGAGCTGGCGCCGGTCGTGGCCGTGACGGACGGCCGTGGCTGCTGCCGCTGCGGGCGGCCACCCTTTCCTTGCCGGCTACCTGTCACCGTGGAGCCCGTACTGTTCCTGTGCACCTTCTCCTTGGTCCTGCAGACGCCGCTGTGCACGCAGTACCTATGGGACCGCATTAGCGAGGACCTCGGGTACAATGGAACTCGAGAAGGCGGCTGCAGGAACGACTCTGGGCCGCAAACTCTGCAGACGGTAAAGCACCGCGTCGTGATACCGTCCCGTGACTTTTCTGAGATTTAGCCAGTTTTATTGAGAAGTTCTCGGGAAAGGCTCACTCTCGGTGAATTTTTTTGTTTCCGGCGCCAGAGCCGATTTTAAAGTTTGCTCTCGTCCCTGCAATTCACAGAAACATTTTAACGTTTCCAAAGATTGGAAAAGAGTTTGGGTGAAAATCAACCAGGACAGTACCGTCTCTAGTTACAAAACAGTAAAGGTAAATTCTATTTTAGAATATAAATCTACCAGCTACTATACACTACTTTATGTGCTGTTATATTGCGTATACTGCATGAGATGTGAGATTTCGCAGTCGTAGTTTAGACCCGTGATGTTTCAGAGACTAAGTAGTTTAAATATTTTTTTAATTATTTTTCACCGTATTACAAAACGAAGGTTATTTGGATCATTTTCTGTTACGTTTGAACGTCACCGAAGCCATTTAAGGCGAACACGAAATTCGACGCAGCAAATTTTATTATGCATGTTATTATGCGTTTGATTTCACCGCCGGTTTTGAATTTAATATCTTTGCAGTCCACGATCTAGCCCTGCAGCTCATTTTGCGTGGTGCAAATTCTGAAACTGCTCATGGATTAGGGGGAGGGGGCGCAGGCTGACGCAATGTCTACCTTGCGTCGCTGATGCCCTGGGTCCAATTCCAGACCTGCGGTACTGTCTGTGTGGAGCTAGTATGTTCTCCTAGGTTTTGTGTGGGTGTTATCTGAGTGCTTCAGTTTCCTCCCACAGTCCAAAGACATTCAGGTGGGTTCATTGGCTTCTGGGGAAGAAGGCCCTGGTATGAATGTGTGTCTTTCTGCTCTAAGAGGGACAGGCGGCCAGTGTTTGCTCTGGCTCCCTGCCGACCCTGAATGGGAGGAAGGAGTTTGTAAGTGGACGGATGAATGCTATAGACCGGGAATAATTTCCATCCCTGTCATTGTCATGCCAGGAGGTGGAGACCCTCACGGCCCACTGGAACCTGTACATCAGCCTGGGGGGCTTTGTGGTGGGGGTCTTCACCGCCACGCTCATGGGCTCCTGGAGCGACAGGGCGGGCCGCCGGCCGGTGCTGATGCTGCCCAGCCTGGCCCTGGCCCTGCAGGCCGGCGTCTACCTGCTGGTGATGTACCTGCGGCTGCCCGTGGCCTGGTTCCTCCTGGGGCGCCTCCTCAGCGGGCTCAGCGGAGACTTCAACGCCGTCCTCGCCGCCTGCTTCGCCTACGTGGCGGACGTCAGCGACGCGCGCTCCCGCACCTTCCGCGTGGCCGTGCTGGAGGCCTGCATCGGGGTGGCGGGCATGCTGGCCAGCGTCGTGGGGGGCCAGTGGCGCCTGGCGCAAGGGTACCATCTTCATCAACCACAACAACAAGTCCTTAGGCCTGAAATCAGCACACATCCACACAGAGCTTGTAGCAGTGTAGCTTCTGTTTTACTGTGCTAGTCCTGAAATACGTGAAATATAATAATTATTATTATTATTCCTTACACTCATATAGTGCTTTTCTGGACACTCCACTTAAAGTGCTTTACAGGTAATGGGGATCCTCTCCACTTCCACCAGTGTGCAGCCCCACCTGGATGATGCACCAGTACTCTCCCCACACACCAGCTCTCAGTGGGGAGGAGAGCAGAGTGATGAAGGCAGTTCAGAGATGGAGAGGAGGCCATGATTGGTAAAGGCCAGGGGGAAAGTTGGCCAGGACACCGGGGTTACACCCCTACTCTTTTCGAGAAACACCCTGGGATGTTTAATGACCACAGAGAGTCAGGACCTCGGTTTTACGTCTCATCCGAAGGACGGTGCCTGTTTACAGTATAGTGTCACAGTCACTATACTGGGCCATTAGGACCCACACGGACTGCAGGGTGAGCGCCCCCTGCTGGCCCCACTAACACCTCTTCCAGCAGCAACCTTAGTTTTTCCCAGGAGGTCTCCCATCCAGGTACTGACCAGGCTCACACCTGCTTAGCATCAGTGGGCTGCTAGTTGCGAGTTGGGTTTATGGGTTTGTAAATGCTGACACGGCCTGGTCCCCCGTTAATGTCTGCACAAACTCATTTTAGCATATTTTGTTTCTAAGTGAGAGATTTTCCAAATGAGAAGGCAGGGGTGCTTGGTCTTTACCATGTGCTCCCCGGTTAACTGCAGGTTTATATCCAGGGTGCTTGCCTTTAAAAAAGCAAATGCCCATTATACACAATGACGTAGGTCCTCCAGGCACCCTCGAACGTCAGTAAAGGAACTGAAATCCGCTGTTTGCTTACTCCCCAGGTATATTAACCCCTTCTGGCTCGTGCTGGCCACAGCCATGGCGGCGGCCCTCTACGCCTACCTCTTCGTGCCCGAGTCGGTGCGCCCGGACCCAGGCGCCCGGCTCTTCTCCATGGAGCACTACCGGGCGGTGGGACGGCTGTGCGCCGCAAACGGGGGGGGTGGCCGCCGGAGCAGGCTGTGGCTGTACCTCCTGTCCTTCTTCGTCGTGGTCACGGTCCACTTCGGGAGCCGGGGCCTGTACGTGATATACGAGCTGAGTGCCCCCCTGTGCTGGGGCCCGGTGCTGATAGGCTACGGCTCGGCCGCCCAGTACTTGAGCTCCCTCACCAGCCTGCTGGGGCTGCGGGCCCTGCAGTGGTGCCTGGAGGACTCCTGGATCGCCGTCATTGGCCTGGCTTCCAATATGGCCAGTCTGGTGGTCATCGCTGTGGCCAGCACCACCACGCTCATGTTCACAGGTAGGGGGCAGGTGGTCTTTCAGTTGACCAGTTCACTCGGGCCTTGGCTCCTTTAATTGGTCGAGACATGATTGATTGACTCCTTGGGTTGGGAATACTTGAGTCACGCATACCAGTGTGCAAGACGACTCCATTTCTTTCTTCAAGGAATTCGCTAACAAGTCTTTTCAGATGACTTGTTTTCTTTTTTCAAATCCAGAGAACTTTGCCCATTCAGTGTTTAGTTAATGATTGCAGGTAACCCCCCGAGGCCTAAGAAAACATACGTCCTACCATATTTCACCTGTCTGTCTTGTGAGGAGAGGCTTTCTTGGCATTTTTAGACTGCTGGAGAAGAATGTGTTGAGATCGCTCACCCGGAATAAGTCAGGCACGTTTGTGAATTAGAAGGAAAAGTCTGAGGGGAGAGTGGAGGGACCTCTGGCTCAGCATTCCTTTCAGAAAAAGAAAACGGAGCGCTCATGCCTAGAGCTGGGTCTCCTTCCTGCTGATATCTGGGCACAGCGGCTGACTTGAGGAGATTAGGCCAGCGAGTTAGGAACTGAGTCAGTTCTCTTATGTTTTCACAGCCCAGAATGGTTAACGGAATGATGTTCAGAGGCTGAATACTGACACATGTACCCGGTACGAAACAGTGATGTTCAGCAGGTGCTTCTGAGAGTCAGTGTGGTGTCGTTTCAGTAGGTGTAAATTTAGTACCAATGTAGCAGTCTTTCTTCCCACTGACCACTGCTGTAGCACTGCTCTCTAGTGGACCTCTAAATGCATAGAACCTGTTAAAATGGGTGGCCATTGGTCTTGGCTTTCAGCAGTCTTTCCTTCCTTGTTCCTGGGTCCTACAAACCAAGCTAGCGTTGTATTTTTGCAACTTTTTACCAAGAAACTTAACAGCTCAGTTTACATTTATATCCCTGGCATCGCTATGAAGGAAGTG